CCAACTTTGTTCCCCAGCCACGAGCTACCTCCTCCAAACACCAGCCATCTATCCGAGAGCTCTGGCCAGCATGAGTAGCACTGATTTTCATTTCCTACACTGCCACGAGCAACAGCTGCAGGGTAGTATTTGTAGCCAGGGTATATAGCTCAGGCTGTCACCCCCTAAGGGGGACTCGTACTCAAGGGACAGAGAAGCAAGAGGGGCCCCAGGAACACAAGAGCTGGGGCTGACATAGTGGAGAGAGACTCTTTAGGGACGGATTAAATGCGGAGTGGAATTTCCTTGAAGTCTGTGGAAGAATGTCAGGTTGATGATACATCACCTTTTCTAGAAATTGATACTAATAAGGCGGAAGGTCATGGTCCCCAGAGGTGGGGCTGCCTGAGCCAGGTGAAGAGGGGCCCTTGGCTGGATGAACTTCTGAGGTCCCCGCTGGGCTTATGATGCTAGGTGACTAAAGTCAGCACAGAGGGAAGGGTATTCCTCTTTCTCCCACCGTCCCTCTCTCCTGGGCACTTTACATGCACACCAGCCCCCCAGTGGGCTTCAGTCTTCCCACATCTGTCTGCCCCCTGACCCACCCTCGCCCCCCTTGGCTTCATCTGACAACCTTCCATGGCCTTCTTGTTACCTGATTCTTTCATGGATTCAGGATCCTCCTCATAGAAAGAAGGACAGTGAGAGGCCATAAAAAAATAGAATCCAAACCCTTATTTATAAAAAGGAAAAAGGATGTGGTGAGCTTATTTCACTATTTATTTATAGCCCCACCTACTTCCAAAAGTGTCTTAAGTAGCACGTGCTTTGGAAGAGGTCTCAGGGAAAACAAAAGTCTCCTCTTTAAAAAACAGACCAGGGAATCTGGGAGTTGCTAATGGTTAATAGCAGGGAAGAGAGTAATTGGGGCCTTTAACCCCTGGATATTTTTAAATGTGGACATTATTTGAATGAGGCCATTTCCAGGGTGATTAAAAGCATAGATTTACTGTATATCCAAAAGAACTGAAAATAGGTGTTCAAACAGAAACTTGTTAGCACTACTCACAATAGCCAAAAGGTGAAAACAGTGCAAGTGTATATCAACAAAATGGATTATGTCCATACGATGGATTATTATTCAGCAATAAAAATCGGTGAAGTAGTGAGACATGCTATAGCACGGATGAACCTGGAAAACATTTTCCTAAGTGAAAGAAACCCGTCACAAAAGGCCAGATATTTATGATTCCATTTATATGAAATATTCAGACCCGGGAAATCCATGGAGAGAGCAGAGTAGTGGCTGCCAGGGACCAGAAGGGGAGGGGGATGGGGAGGGACTGCTTACTGAGTATGGGGTCTCATTGTGGGTGATGGGAATGTTCTGGGTAGTAGTAATGATTGCAGAGCATTGTGAATGTACCTAATGCCACTGAATTGCTGAGTGTTACACTTTAAAATGGTTCCAGTGGTAAATTTTGTGTTATGTGTATTTAATCACAATCAAAAATAAACTTGTTCTTAGCAAAACAAAAACAAAAAAACATAGACCTAGTTAGTTGTACCTGTGTTCTAATCTCAGCTCTACCACTTACCAGCTGTGTGACCTTGGGCAACTCACTTACACTCTCAGTTCCCATTTCCTCATGTGTAAAGCGGGGATAATTATAACAGTACCTACCTTATAAATCTTAAATGAGTCAATGTATGTAAAGTACTTAGTATAATACATGGCACACAGGAAGCATGCTGTAAAGATTTGTGTTATTAATCTAACCCAGGTATTCTCTACTATGGGCAGTTTTGCCCCAGAGGAGAAACTTGGCAATGTCTGGAAAGATTTTTTATTACTACAGTTGGGGCGTCAATGAGTAGAGGCAGGGGACACCACTAAATATCCTACCATGCACAGGACAGCCTCCACGACAAAGAATCATCTGGTCCCGAATGTCAGTAGTTCCAAGGTTGAGAATCCCTGATTGAAACAGAGCAGGTAGGGAAAGTTGCTTCCTCTAATGAATGTGTAGACAAAAATAGGTCAGACAGAAATTTTAGTTAGAAAGGACAAACTATCAAATGTCCACCGTGTATAGAGAACACACATCAGTCATTGTGGGGGATATAGAAGAAACCAAGGCGCTGTCCTTGAGGTACTTGGGTAAAGAAGAACTCTGTGTGATGGAGTTCTTTAAGAGAGAAATTTTACCAAGAGATGTTTGTAATCATTTTTCCTGTAGTAAGAGGGTGATCTGGGGTCATCCACTACTCACAGTAATGCTCACTCAAATGCAGCCCTTCTGGTTCCTTGTCAAGATGCATCTTGAGTGACCAGCGTGTGGTTCCTTCACGTGTCTGAATGTGTCTTGTGTCTGGATAAATTCTATGGAACAAATATCTGAAAAAAGAAACCACTGTCACAAATAGAAGTAAAAATTACTTGTTACAAGTAAAGGCACAGACAAAAGAGAAAACATTAGATTTCCTTGCCTTCAACCACCCATATACCAAAAGGAAAAGGAGACCCTTTTTGCCCACTTTTGTTTAAAGAGTTTTGTTATTAGATTCTAAAACCATACATCCATACAATTAGCCTAGTTTAGTTCACAGAGTCCATTTTACACAGAATGGCTCACCATCAAAAGGTCTCTATGGACCGGCTAAGCAGTGAAGGCTTGGGAAGGGACCCTATTCCTTCTCTCTGTCTTTCTGCCTTTAGGCTAAGGATTACAAGCCTTTCAAAGATACACCATGCTTCCACTCAACCCCTGTGAGTGGCAGATGTCCTTTATGATTGAGCAATGGGAAGGAGGAATCTGGTGGGGCCCATCAGGAAGGCACATCCTTGGAGGTTTAGGTCCTTGGAAGCTAACGTATGGTGATGGGGGCTCAAAGGATGGGCAGGAGACCCCACCCTATAAGTCACCTTTGCACAGTTTCCTCCGCAATGCTCGCTTCCCATAGGTACAGCTACTTCTGGCAACTTAAATTTATTCAGTGCCTACTATGGCAAGGAATTTTATTAGATACTCATGAAGGGAAAACAGAGGTGAATTAGACATAGAGCCTGTCACAGTGACTTCTCAATAGGGCAGGGACAGGTATAAATCACTCTAATATAGAAAGGGACAAGGGCAATCAGAAAAATGCGGGGAAAACCCTATGGGATTTCGGAGGAGAGAGTTGGCCTCTGGTGGGGAGTTTGGAGAAGCCTTTTCGGAGAGGGTGGCATCTGAGTTAGAATGTGGTTGGGCATGTGGACATTTCGTATGATCCTGGAATGTGCTAGAGGATGGAGCCAGCTACTGAGGTGAGTCACCCAGAGAAGAGGATTTTTAGGATTTGTGGAGGGGAGTGCAGGCAAACAGATGAGCTGGGTAGACTGAGACAAGCTCATGAAGAACCTGCAAGGCCACAACATGGTCAGGCCGTGGAGAGTCACTGACCTTTTCTGAGCAGGTGTAACAGACCAAGAAGAATATCGTGCAGCCCCGTGTGTGTGCATGTGTGAAGATACTGTGGGGCAAGAATGGGAAGAGGGGGCAGACCTGGCCGGTATTTCACATAAAGCAGGACGCAACGGCAGGCTATGGCACCACCTCGGCTTACTTGGTGTTGAGGAACACGGGTGCTGGGCACAGATATTTGGGGTTCAAGTCCTGGGCTGTGCCACTTAAGCCAATGGGCTGTCCTTAGGCAGATTGCCTCACCTCTCGGTGCCTCAATCTCTTCATCCAAAAAATGGGAGTAAATGTGTTTCTCATACACATGAGCTGAAAAGTAAATGCATTAAACATATTCTGAATGTCATCTGGCACAACATAAAATGATTGTGCTTAACAGTTCAGTATGAAAACTGGCTCTTAGGGGAGACTGGGTGGCTCAGTCGGTTAAGCGTCGGACTCTTGGTTTCGGCTCAGGTCATGGTCTCAAGGTCATGAGATGCAGCCCCACATCGGGCTCTGTGGAAGGTGTGGTGTCTGCTTAAGATACTCTCTCACCCTTTCCCTCTGACCCCTCCTGGCTCCCCCTCTCAAAAAAAAGGAGGAAAAAAAAATGGCTCTTATTATCACCGAAGGTAACAAGGATGATCTGCAAGGATGCACTTCTGAACCAAGGTGGAATGATGGTAATTGTCAGGAATAAAAAATTCTACAGGCAAACACCGACCTTGCATTATTCTTTACAAAGCTGCTTACAGGGGCTGGAATGTGGGGCCCTGTCTCAGTAGAAGCCAGGATGGCACCCGTGGACTGTGCCTCCACATAATGGTCCCGCTATCGACATCCTCCTCGTTTTCTAGTTCCAACAGCATTGCTTTTACTGTCCGGCATTAGCTGCATTAACCCTTTTCAGCAGATCAGGAGTAGTCCCAAGACTGCTACAGTGAAGAGACTTGGGGCCAAAAACTTTGGTCTCAAGGGAGACCATCAAACAGATGATGCTTTTAAGAACATGGGGAGAATCGGGCTTGGCCGCTAACAGAATGAACATTGAAGATGTCATATTTAAAATAAAGGCAACTTCGATGTTTTGGTTTTAGTTAAGGAACATTGCCTTGTCTATGTGTGTGCGGGGATTGTTGAGAGTTGGAGGGGAGAAGAGAGACTGGAGAGTGTCTTGGAGCAAGACATCCTCCTCTTATGTTGAAACTCTGGCTACAAAACTCAGAGCTAAAATGCTGTGCTCTTTTTCTGAGCCCCATTCAGTGTTCAGACTGCTCTAATTTAATGCATGCATAAGAATAAAAATTAAGCTTCAAGAGCTAGGGCAGATTTTTTTTTTTTTTTTAAAGAGAGGCAGGCTTTATCCCTGTGAGATTAAACAATCATCAGGGTCTAAAGGTTTAATCTGCTTGAGTTCAGCCCAGGATGGGGTTCAGAGCCCCAAAATAATTGGATGCAGCCCCAGGCTTTGAACATCAGAACTAGTTGGTGTGTGTGTGTGTGTGTGAAATGTGCAAGCAAGCACGCACGAGAGGTCTCTCCCGTGGCAGGAGGAATAAAGCTGCCTGCCCCGCCACCTCCACCGCGTCCTCAGCTTGTGGGGATTGCTGTGCACATGAATGTGTGCTATTGTTCCAGGCACACGTCGGCCTGGAGAAATAGCACAAAACAGCCCGTCCTTATTCAGAGGCAGAGCCCCCTCCATCACTCAGACCAGCCCTCCCAGGTCACATGCTGGAGGCCTCCGCAGACAGGACGCAGCTGCCTCGGATCTGCAGCCTAACATTAGCCGCGGTTCGCAAAACCTGACAGCACCGAGCCTTCACAGGGGCCACTAGAAAGATGTGGGGTCCGGGCACTATGTTCTCCGAGGAACGCTGGCTGGAAAATGAGAAAAAGTGTGCTGTGGTTCGGAAGCCTAAGCCAGGCCGGAAGCGCCAGGAGCTGCTGGCCGTGGCCTTGGGGGTTAAGGTGGGAGTCAGAGGTGGTTTTCTGTGGCCTCCTCTCAAACTCTTTGCCTGTTCACAGATCTCATCCCTGGTCCGAAGGGCCGCCCTCACGCACAATGACAACCACTTCAACTACGAGAAGACCCACAACTTTAAGGTAAGCAAGCCTCTGCGCTCTTTCTTCTGTTCTTAAGGGGCAGGTGACGGTTTCCTTCTTGTCTTTGACTGTGAAGTCATGAGACAGCAAATTCCTTGGCTTCCACATCTAGCTACGTGCATCATGCACGTAACACTGTTGCTTTGTGTCAAACTGGAGACCTCAGACAGCAGTTTGCTTGATGCTGACACCTAGAAACACCTCTGTGTGTGTTCACTTAGTTCTGGAGCACTGGGCCTGTTTCCTCTTCGTATCGCTCGTCCAGCGAACGAACAGCAGAGCGTGCCCGTCCCCGGCAGTGAGAGATCTTCTGGGGGAACGTCGAGCAGTACTTTTCCACGCAGAGTAGCTGTAAAAAATATTGCTGTCTCTGAGCAACAGATAACAGTTGCCCATTTCACAGTCTGTGTTTCGTCTTTGTTTTCAGGGATGCTAACCCCTTTGGTTTATGTGTAGACAGCTGTGAAAGCAAATGATGACAGGAGATACCATCCAGAAGATTTGTTTGCGCTCCGGGTACAGAGGGGCACCGCGACAGCCTTGATGCTGCTCCCCAGACCAAGCAAAAAGATGCAGAAAGCCGGTGGGAGCTTTAGTGGCGATTGCCATGTGTGTTGAAAAACTAGAAACACTGCTGTCTTCATTTCGGACCAGCACTTGTAAATACGGCCTGCCATCAGAAATCATGGCCTATTTCCTTTGACCTAATGTGTGTTTCAAGAAGGGCCGGAGGAGATTCTGATGCCAAATTGCCCGGCCAGGGATGCTGTTGAGTGGAGGCGAGATAAGATGGAGTTTGAGGTTTTACCCCAACAAATGGGCTGACAATTTGGAGAGAGTGGAGATGAAAGGATCCAGGAAGAAAAGAAGAGGCAGGGGCAGCAAATTGTGAATTGCCTTTTTTTTTTTAAACTCCCTTCCTTTAGTACCAGTAACCCGAGTAACTGTTGGAACTAGAAAGCCCTTTGTCAGAGGTGACCAGGGAAACCTCTTTTATTCTGTCGTTTTCCAGTTCTTCATGAAGGACAAACATGTGTCTATTAAATATACATTCGTGTCAGTTCGGTCTGTTTGCCCTGCTGCTGGTTTTAGAAAGCGAGCAGCTCGAGCATTTGCATGCTATAATTGAGCCGAGGAATGGAATTATCCAGCCCTCCATATTTAGCATGAGGATGAAGAATTGCATTATATAGATCCTCATCAATGCCAGGGCTCTTGATATTTCTCCCATTGCTGAAGAGGGACAGGTCTGATTGGCAGCACAGAAAGCCTTTACGCTTTTTCTCTTTTCTGTTTTCTGTATTTACCCTTATTAATTTTTTTTGCCTTAAGAAAGTATTTTTCTGACTTTGGGTGGAAATCCTGATTCTTTGCATCCTGTGGATGCACCACCATGGATTGGGAGGAGGGATCTTCTTGGACTTGCAAATTCTCGTCCTTCCTCTTGAAAATTCCAACTCTTCCGGCTTTAAGATGCAATTGGAATTATGCCCTTCCTGAGATATGTATTTGCATGGGGATAGCTTCTCCCTCTGTATACTGTGTCTGAGCTTGTGTGCAAAACACACAAGCATATTCAGTTGACTGCCACTTCCAAAACTGACTTCAGTTTTTTAATCTCAGATCTCTGAAGGGGAAACAAAGACATTTGAAACAAAAAGATAATTAAAACTAATTTTCTTAAATAGTGCTGTTGCTAACACGATCTGTATTAATTATTTATCACTGGGATCCATCAACAGCTTTTTCAATGTTTGCTTGAAAAGTCGGTATCTATTTGGTGTGATCTCTTCTAACATAGCTATCGAGAGAAGAAAAGGCAGAGAGCAGACACGGTGTTAGAGGAAAATATATAAGCCAGACAGAGCATTTCTCTTCTGAGTTTTAAATAGACGTCTTTGAGACATAGCAGCCCCTTGAGTCTCTGTGTCCCTTGATTGTGGCTTTCAATGGTACTGCTCGTGCCACTGTCCTTAAGAATGAGTGGCAGGGCCAGAAGGGGGTGGTTCCCTCTGTCACTCCTCGCCCCTGCCACCCTCATTCAGCCCTCTCCCCACCCCCAACTCATTTTAAGTGGGAATTTTGCGTGGTCTTTAGAGGAATCCTCTAAAAGCTGGTCAGTGCTATAAATAGAGCAGTGGGTTTTTAGTTAACACACCACTGAATTAACCAAACAAAGAAAACTCTTATCAAAGGCCCCCTGCCATCTGCTTGGAATTAGTGTAAAATTAAGACCTAAACCACAAATTTTTTCTTTATGCTGACATCTAATAGGCTTTATTCAGAAACTCTCTTGATTTGTAATTCGGGTTTGAGAGTACTATGTATGGCATAAAGTAAGTGTTCATTAAAAAGAACAAATAATCACATTTTCACGATTATCAGCAAATAAGCCTCGCTAAGCCCAGTCTGCATTCTTGCCTAAGGGCTCCTATGAGAGATTCCAATCTGTCAGCAGATCTAAACGCCTCACCCCACAACAAGATTTTCTGCCCGGTTGAGGACTACTTCCCCAGGTAAAAAGCCTTTTCCTGGCTCTCCCCAGGAGCTTCATCAAGAGGAACAAATAGAAACTCCCACCCCTATACAGGTTGAGAACTTACGCTCCATTCTTCCAGAAAGCTCTCCCCAGCACTATGCCTGAGTGTCTACCTACTCTCCTTGTTTTCTCAACAAAGCATATCTAGGAAAAGGAAAAGACAAAAGTTAGCTCTGGGAACAAGAACTTTTGGAAGCCAATTAAATTTATGCTTCATCTCATGCAATAATTGTGTACTTTTCAACACTATGCAGATGCAGCTACTGCTCATTTGAATCCTAAATTCTCTGGGATTACTTGCACATACTGGGAATCAGGAGGTATTTGTTGAAGAAATTATGGAATTGACAGGATCCTCTCTGAAAGGAAAACTCTTTGATACACAGAAAAAAAATTTCCTTTATTTAACTCATTTTACATCTGCATCTGTTTATCTAGTTGACTGAAAGAGACACTCTCATGTAGGTAGAAGAGCTCTCTTTGAGATGGTCTACCTTAATAACACCTTGTGGCTAAGCTTCAAAATCTTCAGGCTAATGAACTCCAGAGCCCCAACAATCTGGGTAACTGTCCTTCCTTCCTTCCCCACTTTGCGCAGTGATAACATAGCGGTGGCTGGCTTGGTCCTCCTAGCTACAACTTGACCTTTGGTGAGCAGCTTAGTTCTTGCAGCCTCAGTTTCCTTATCTGTAGAATGGGAGTGTTGTAAGGCTTAAGGAATACATGTAAATCGCTTATGGTCTGTGGCACCCGGTAAGGTTAGCTTCGATTATTATTTTGCTATTCATCTTTTTGTCTCTCTCTCAGCTTGTGCTTTTGTGTTTAGCCTTCTGTGTCTCCATATTTATTTTCTACCCTTACTTCTTCATGCTCCTCCTTCTTTTTGCTATCATCTGTTTCTTCCTCTCCCATTAACTACATGCGGTAGAAAAATGCAAGAGTGTTTTGGGCAATGCCAATGACATGAGCAAAAACTTGGAGTCAGAAATGAGCCAGAAGTGAACAGGCTGCAGGGAGGAGACCATCGAGGAAAGAGGTACTCACTTCACGTGTGGGGTAGGCCAGATGGAAGCAGATTGATGACCCTGGGCATTTTCTCTGCTCAGCCCACTCGGGAGCTCAGTCCTCCCAGTGTGCATGTGCATGCATGTACATCACTCCCTCCTTCTACTCAATTCTCTCCCTCTACCCAGGCCTTGCAGGACACTCCTCTTTCCTTATATGGAATATGGATGGAGAGCAGAGCTCCAGAAAGTTCTAAAAGTTGAAGAGCAAACCACTTGACCCCCACCTTACCCCATGTTCCCCATCCCCATCGGTCTCCCTGTCTCTTCCCCATGCATCCCCTTCCATCCCTTTCCTATTCCCCACCCCTCCCTTCTCCAGCCTCCTATCAGCTTGACTTTTCTCCATAGCACTGACCACTGGCATGGTCCATATTTACTTGTGTGCTTGCTTTCCCCTTTTCAGCTGGAAACACTCATTCATGGGGCTGGGGGCAGGGATTTGTGTCTGTTGTCCTGCAGACACCCCCATGTCCAGAACAGGGCCTGGCCCAGAGCAGGCTGTCAGTGAATATTGGTTGAAAGCACATGCAGGAGACATCTCATGGCCCTATCTGCCTAAGATGGCCCATTGTCTCCGCACTCCCCACCACACCCCACAGTGTGCCCTCAGCCGTGGCTTGTTACACTTGTGTTAGCTGTGCTCAAGCCCTTCCAGCTATGGGCCCTTGCCAGGGTCAGCAGACTGTGCCAGAGAGATGGATCGTATCCAGGTGCGCCAGGCCAGTTGTCATTCCCCGTTTGGCCAGCAGGTGTGGCGGGGCATGCTATCCAGTGTCTTATACGTGGGGATAGCGGACGAGACACACGCCCCAGGTTACTCTTCTTGTCTCAGCTTCTGGTGTGGTGACTCGCAAAAGTGACCTGGTCTGGACATAAACGAAACGGTTTCTCAACACACCCTTTTATGTCCCCCACTCTCTGTAGACCCTCTTGCCGGGTACACCACGTGTCCAAGCGTGCTCATGCAGCAGGCTCCTTCCGGGCATGCCTACCCACCCCATGAGACCCTGGGTGCCCGGACCAGAAGTCCAGGAGGTCGAGTGTGTCCTGGAGCTATGGTCAGGACACCTGTCCAGGGTGTGGCAGCAGCACCACCGCCCAGTCTGGGTGATGTGGCCCATTTCCAGTTTCTCTGCCTCTCATTGCTTTTTGCATTCTTATCAGTCCAGTGGGCATTTGCTTTGGAACAAGACGTTTTTGCTTTCCATATGCAAACCCCTCTCTTTCCCTCATCCTCCTTAACCTCATAAAAATGTGTTAGCTCACTTTTGCCCACTCTTTTGCCTGTCTTTCCAGCAGCAGAGCCTGGTGGAAAGAGGATAGATTTTGACAGCAAACCCAAGAGGGACTCCTTGCTTAGGCCACATACTAGGGAAGTGGCTTGGTCAAGCTACTCCTCAAATGTAAATCATGTACTAATGAGTCTGACCCATATCAAGTTCTTAGCTGTTATTAATTTTATATTTTGTTTTATTCCAAAGGACATTCAAAGGGGCTATTCCAAATGACTAAATGGCTGATTCTGGCATGTTAAGTCCAGAGAAATATTCCTTTTGTGTTTTGTGGGGAGAAAAATAAAAGGACCCATGATCACTGTACATATTATTTGGGTATTTTTCGAAGTTCTAAGGAGAGGAAACTATTTAGACAGGCATTTTTTTTTTTTTTTTATTCAGCAAATATGGACTGAGGGCCAGTTATGTGCCAGGCACTACCAGGTACAAGAGAGACCGTGGGGACATAAGAATGTGAGCTCTTCTTCTACTGGGCAGCTTTCAACCAGAGTGGTTTTGCTCCCCCGGGGACATCTGGCAGTGTCTAGAGACATTTCTGATCCTCACAACTGGGACGTGCTCCTGGGGTATCTAGTAGAGGTCAGAGATGCTGGTAAACATCCTGCAGTGCCCAGCCCAGGCCCCACCACAAGGAGTTACCCAACCCCCATGTCAATAATGCTGGGGTTGAGGAAACATGCACTAGACAATGCAGGAGCCCTGGAGGTTTTGCCGGGGCGGGGGTTGGGGGTCAGGGCAGTGTCAGAAGAAGGTCAGTGCTGATACCCTCATAAACCCGAGAGGAAGTTAGCACAAGAGTCTCTCACTTTATGCAGTGGGGAGATTCCCAAAAAGCTTTGTGGCAATCAGTGTTTTAGACATTAAATCCTATTTTAAAGGTAGTAGGATGGCTGCTGAATAGACAGATCTGGGGGTGAACACCACTCACCCCCAGATTTCTCCCCGGTGGAGAAACCCAGGTCTCTGGCAACATCTGCTGAGCAGGCCTCTCAGGGAAGCCCAGTCTCCTGTCACAGACGGAGCGATTCCCCCGGCTGTTTCGTTCCCATCTGAAAAGGTTCACTTCAAGGTCAGTATTTCATCTGATCTTGCAAGAGGGAAAAGTCCAAAGTTTAACCTAATTTCTCAGGAGTTCAGTGTCACATGATTATGGGAAAAGCAGTA